CTATCTACTGGGGCTTTGGGGGGAAAAAATAAAATAAATAAAAATTTCTAAATTCCAAAAAAAAAAAAAAAAATGTACATTGACTAAATGGATATTGAACTATTTAGAGCTCTCTTATTTAAAAAAAATTAAACCCAAGAAGTTTTTACATAAGTTATAAGAGTCCTATTCATACAAATTATTGGGAAAAACAGGATTAGTTTATAAAATTTCTCCTTCAAGCAACTTTAAAGGGCTATAGCTGTGTAAAGAATCATGCATTCTGACCTGGAAATTTGTAGTTAGAACCTATCAAACCATAAAAATTTAATTCAGGCTTTAAAACTAGTAAGACTTTCAATTAAAAACTAGTAATTAAAACTTTAAGTGAAATTAAAAACAACTTACCTTATTAAATTCTTATTGAATGGTCTGAGAATTTTAAAAATTATACTTATAAACTATCTGATAACTTAAATGCATTTTTTAAAATGATTTTGCCAGGGAGGCAAAAATAGGGAGCTGCAGAGGTGAAGTTTGCATTTGGGTAGGTCCTTTATGTCAGCTTATAGAAGATTTGGCTTCTTTGAAACATAGGTAATGTTTTTATACAATGAAGAAATTTGTATTTTAAAAATTTGTTTGAGTTGGGTTTACTAAAGATACATAAAATAGAGTGTGATGATGTACAATTTAACACGTATTCTATGTTTTTATTAAGATTCATCTATTAAAACGTTTTAAGTTAAATTAGTCATTAAAGTAAAATAGTTTAATGATACTTAAAATTCTGGCATAATTCAAAATAACAAATTATAAAATTGTTTATTTTTCAGGAAAGGTGCTCAAAGATTCAGTGTGCTTGGTTACTGGTATTCTTAGCAGGATCTTCTGTTCTTTTATATTACACCTTCCATTCTCAGTCACTTTATTACAGGTAATTAGAGGTCCAAGTTCCCAATCACATTTTTTATGTAATCATATATTTCATAGCACTTCGCATTTATCTTACTTGTACATACTTATTATTGTTAGAGTTCAATTTTTACCCATCTGTCTTATTCCAAGATTTAGAGCTCTAAGTGACTTATTCAGATTTGTATACCCAGTGCCTGAGCTCAAAACAGGTGCTCAATAAATATTTAATTTTTGCTACTTAAAGTTTTACTTATATAATCAATCATTATTAAATACCATTAGGTTGTTGGTGGTGGTCTTTTATTTTTTAATTTTGATTTTTGATAAATAAAAATTGTATATATTTAAGATGTACATGTGATGTTTTGATATACATTGTGAAATGATTACCACAATCAAGCTAATTAACATAGCCATCACCTCCCTTAGTTAGCTTGTGTGTGTGTAATGAGAACACTGGATCTTTGTTTCTAGAAGTAAGGAGAAGACTTGCTGAAGGACAGTAGTTGCTAAATTTCCATGTCAGATGGAAATGTTCTGAAAAGACTGTTCTTTTTCTTTATTCTACGGAGGAAAGATTTGAAATTCAAACATTTAAAAAGTCTCTTTAAAATAAGCAAAATGGTCTTCCATTCTGTTTACATGAACTCTAACATCTTGCCAAATTCATAGTTTCTACATATCAAATTAAAGTAAAATATTTGGTAGCAAATTTAAAACTCCTATCAATACTTTACCTTTATGTGTTGCTCTGGTAAGTTTTGATGTTTTTCTCTTGGTAGCTTAATTTTTTTGAATCCTACTTTGGACCATTCAAGCTTCTGGGAAGTACTCTGGATTGTTGGAATTACAGACTTCATTCTGAAATTCCTCTTCATGGGCTTAAAATGCCTTATTTTATTGGTGCCTTCTTTCATCATGCCTTTTAAATCCAAGGTAAGAAACTAACATGTTTTATTGGACAATGTTAGCTAACCACATTAATGCTATTTAGTCTTTGTTTAAATGACTCCTTTTATAATTTTTCAGTTTTCTAAATAACCTAATTTTATTATTTTAAACTGGCAACTTGAAGTTAATCTATTCCAATAAAATCAGAATTATATTTGCTTCAGAACAATCTAAAAATCAGTCCCCTGGGCCGGCCCTGTGGCTTAGCAGTTAAGTGCGTGCACTCCGCTACTGGCGACCCGGGTTCGGATCCCGGGTGCGCACTGACGCACTGCTTCTCCGGCCATGCTGAGGCTGCGTCCCACATACAGCAACTAGAAGGATGTACAGCTATGACATACAACTATCTACTGGGGCTTTGGGGAAAAAAAAGGAGGAGGATTGGCAATAGATGTTAGCTCAGAGCCGGTCTTCCTCAGCAAAAAAAAGGAGGATTAGCACGGATGTTAGCGCAGGGCTGTTCTTGCTCACAAAAATAAATGAATGAATTAATTAAATTAAAAAAAAATCAGTCCCCACGTTATATGGAAAAATATTATTTAGATTTGTACTTCTGTTCTCCTCCAGGGTATTATCAACTGGTAAGTGATAACCAACTGTCTGCAGTTATTCAGTGTTTTTCCCGTGTTCAATAAAAACTTTAAATTTTTATAATCAGCAAAAACAAACATATATGTTTTACTTGTAGTATACATAAAACATTTTCACTTTGTCATTCTTAGGAATTCTGTGAAAACAAACCACTCTGTAATATGCGAAGACCATTATTGTTATGGAGAATAATTTTATAGTCATGTGTTATTCATACACTTAGGATGTTCTTCATCCAATATGAAGTTTTGTGCTGTGTATGTAAATAGCTTGGGTAGCTCTGTTTGTTTTCTTTTCCCTTCCTTTTTAGGGTTACTGGTATATGCTTTTAGAAGAATTATGTCAGTACTACCGAACTTTTGTTCCCATACCAGTTTGGTTTCGTTACCTTATAAGCTATGGGGAGTTTGGTAATGTAACTAGATGGAGTCTTGGGATATTGCTGGCTTTACTCTACCTCATACTAAAAGTAGGTAACATTATAAATCTTGTCATGCATAATGATTCATATGATGATGATTACAGATTTTATATACCACTGCTTTTCTCTTTAACTGTTTTATAGTTTATCTTCATATCACTAGTTTGAAGTAATGGCAAGTTCTCTATCTACTTAGAAATGGAGAAACAGAAATATATATCTTTATTTTAATCCAGTAGTTCTCAGATTTTATTAGGGGAGTGGACCTCCACAAAGCATGGATTATCTAAAGGTGGGGAGGCGGGAGGACAAGTAGAATAGAACATACCCATTCCCAACAATAGCATCTGTCATACACTTAATTCCCAAACTAGTGGAGTATCTTGTTCTGTTGCCTCTATGCCTGCTCCCCTCAACTTAATTACTTATGAAACTTTAAAATCTAAATATGTTAAGAACATGTGAACCAGGTAAAATTGCCTTGTCTTTTACATATATAAGTTTATATTTGTCTTGACCAAATTGTAACTCTGGGTATTCAAATATACTTCATTTTGGTTAAGAGTTGGCTGAAATCTATAAATTGAGTAAAATATTCCATAATTAGACTTTAAATAAAATGAAATGATTAGTTGTAATATGCAATAAGCATTAAGTTAACATCAGTATTTGATGATATGGGATTTTAGCTTTGATCTCTAGGTTTAGCAGATAGGGCTCTTTGAATTAATGAATTCTCTCATTTATTTCCTCTTTCAGCTTTTGGACTTTTTTGGACATCTAAGAACTTTCAAACGGGTTTTGAGAATATTTTTTACACGACCAGTAAGTACTTTTTATGAGTTAAGAAAAAACACTTTTTTACCTTTCTTCATTATAAAAATTGTTTTATTTCAGCAATTTTACAAGTGTTGATTTCATAATTACTTGATTTTTTTAAACTTTTCTAGTACTTTGGCACTTAGGGCTCTGATAATGATTTTGGAGTTTTATTTCAATGATCAGTTTCTTGCACATTGCCAGCCACCTCCCTGATAGCTGATGCAGTGCTTACGTATTTGAATGGGCTTCTTGCCCCTTCAAATCACTTGACATTCTTAAGAGTTTATAAACATTCCCTTAAAAATCTTGACATGGGGGCCAGCCGGTGGCGTAGTGGTTAAGTTTGTGCGCTCTGCTTCAGCGGCTCGGAGTTCACAGGTTCAAATCCTGGGCACGGACCAACACATCACTCATCAAGCCATGCTGTGGCAGCATCAAACATATAAAATAGAAGAGGATTGGCACAGATGTTAGCTCAGAGCCAATCTTCCTCAGCAAAAAGAGGAAGATTGGCAAGAGATGGTAGCTCAAGGCCAATGTTCCTCAGCAAAAAAAAAAAAAAAAAACTTATCATGAACTTTTGTTCCTCTTCTTTTTTTTAATCCACAAATGGTAGCTTTGTGTATATCTATTAACTTATTATTCAGCTTCTATGAAAGTGCTTCCACTGTAATTTATTTATATGAAGAAAGCTCATTACCAAAAATTCTCTCTCTTGAAATTTTCTTACTGGAAAAACTTCCTCATCCATACTCAATTCTTTATGCATAAGTAAGTTCATGGCATGGAATTTAACAATAAATTGAGGCTCCAATGTCAGTTATAAACTTGATTATTATGTGATTCTGCTGATGTTACAAACTGCAGAGAAAGGGTATCATCAGCTCATTTGCTATTTAGTAGCCTCAAAGGTTCTTAGTACTTAGGTGTGGCCACCAGATATCAGAGTTTGATCCTCAGTTTTGCAGTCCATTTGGTACTTAAACAATTACTTGGTCAGAACTCACAGGATCTGACAAGAATACCAATAATGTCTGTATGCAAAAAAAAAAAAGGATTATATCTAAAGTGGACCAAACTAACTGGCCAGGGCACCCTTTCCCAGTAGATAGTTGTATGTCATAGCTGCACATCCTTCTAGTTGCTGTATGTGGGACATGGCCTCAGCATGGCCGGAGAAGCGGTGCGTCAGTGCGCGCCAGGGATCCGAACCCGGGCCGCCAGCAGCGGAGCGGGAGCACTTAACTGCTAAACCACGGGGCCAGCCCTGAACTTGGGTGTTCTTACTTCTCTTCAGCCACCTTTTCCCCATCATTTCTACAGAAAGCTTATCTAATTTATAATATTTTGTCACATCTAGTTAATGACAAAATTCTCCTGATTTTGGTGAGGAAGTTATTAAGATCTTAGATCAGATAGAGTTAGTAACGTAGTAAGAAGTTTTGCTTCATCCTATTCAGACTTCTTTAGACAAGACATAATAAAATTGAGAGTCAGCTTTGGTCAAGTTTATTCAATTTATTATGTGATAATCAGCATTAATCTAGTAAGGCTTGTGCGAAAATACTTTGATATTCTTTCTCTGTGAGGCAGAGAGAGAAGGTCACAGTCATCAACATTCTTTGATTTATTGCTGAGTCTCTCAGGAATATATACCTAGCCTTGACGTGTATATACATGTCCCTTAACTTTGCCAGGCAGTCACCATCAGGATAAGTCTTCACCTGAAGGGAGTGTGCAAAATGCTAGACAAAAGTACTGTTTTAAAAGCTTGTCATCATAAGTATCTGCAGTGTACGCTGCTAAATAACACTTTAATGAAGGGAAATCAGCACCAAGATCATCCATCAGTATCCCGATTTGGTTCTGGAATCTTGAACATCACTAGTCTCAAAAAATCTTTTTATATTTTTATCCATTGAGTCTTAGTTTGATTTTGTTAACCCTTGATATTTAGTACAAGAAGTTTAGATCATAGCTTCAGGGTGTTGAGTCAAGTCATGCTTTGCTGTCATTACCATGACTGAACTTGGGTGTTCTTTTTTTTTTTTTTAAAGATTTTATTTATTTATTTATTTTCCCCCCAAATGCCCAGTAGATAGTTGTATGTCATAGCTGCACATCCTTCTAGTTGCTGTATGTGGGACCTGGCCTCAGCATGGCCGGAGAAGCGGTGCGTCGGTGCGCGCCAGGGATCCGAACCCGGGCCGCCAGCAGCGGAGCGGGAGCACTTAACTGCTAAACCACGGGGCCAGCCCTGAACTTGGGTGTTCTTACTTCTCTTCAGCCACCTTTTCCCCATCATTTCTACAGAAAGCTTATCTAATTTATAATATTTTGTCACATCTAGTTAATGACAAAATTCTCCTGATTTTGGTGAGGAAGTTATTAAGATCTTAGATCAGAAACTTTTTTTTAGGACTTTCGAGGAAAAGGAAATTCAAAGAATTGCATTATTGTTCAGTTAGTTTTGACAGTGTAACTCTACCCAAGTTACGTTTTGCAACTGCAGTTCTTTTGTAAAATCTTGTTTATCATTCTTTCCTAGTACTAAATGCTCTGACTTTTGTGATAGTTAAGGATAATTAAAATTATTTTTAGATTTAGTGGCAGGACACTATTCAGTGGTCCCCAAACCCTTGTCACATTGCACTCACCTGGAGAGCTTTCAAAAATTACTGATTCCTGGGTCACATCCCAGTGTGTCTGGACCTATTGACTCAAATCTCCAGTGTGGAGCACAGCAATCTATTTTTAAAGCAGTTTCTCCACATCAGTTACATTCAGCCAGCCAAGCTCTGGATTGACTTTTTTGAACCACTGCCATAGGTAATAAATGGGCTTAATTTGACAATACTAGGTCATATAATACATGAATATAGATTTTATAATACTAGTTATATTTCAGATTGCTTAGTCTCTTAAGCCAGCTAAATTTGAAGCACTATCATTATTTAGGAATCTAGTGAATCTAATAATCTTCCAAGATCCTATTATGTATTATTTAGTGAGTTCACCTTGATGCAGTCCATCAAAACGTGGTTCTGCATATGTAGTTGAGCTTTGAAATGTTTGTATCCTTTGGGAGAGTTTTCAAATGCCTGGTTCCAGGGAGATTTGAGAAATACAGCATCACCTATGTATTTGAAGAACAGGAAAGACAGAAATTTGTAGATGAACAGAACTTATTATCTTCATAGACTTACGGAGTGGCTGCCAGCAAGAGACAGTGTTCAGATGTGGATGATATTTGTTCAATATGTCAAGCTGAATTTCAAAAGCCAATTCTTCTCACCTGTCAGGTAATTATATTTTTAAGCAACGTAAATACAACACTTCTCCCTGACTCGCAGAAGTCACATTTATGTTGGTTATAAGGGAAAAAAATCTACAATGTTTAGCAGAAAGTAACATTCAGGGCATATACTAGTAATTTCTTATTTGTGATTTAGGGACTTGGTAGATTAGCTAAATCTTGTCTCTTATGTTCTAATGATATTTATGCAGAGTGTATGATGGGGAAAAATTTCAAATGGCAGATTGGATACCAAAGTGATTGGAAAACAGGCTGTTTTTAATAGTTAGATACTAATCTTTTAGAATACCAGCATTTGTTATTGAATTATATAATGCCCTTTCGTAGACTTTATGGCAGTTACTCTCAAAGACTATTAAGCCATTATACTTGATCTTAAAGTTATCACCTAAGGAGAGCTTATATTTTATTAAAAGTGGTTAAACAGATAGCACAGTCAAAAGAACACTAGTGGCTCTACCACTAACACCACTCTTTGTGTTCCTGAATGTCATACTTTGTTTTCTCATTTGTAAAATGAAGGGATTAGTGATTTCCAAATCCCTTTCAGCTCTAAAGAGTATGATTCTCTGCAATGTGATGAATTTAAAATTAAAATGTTACCAAGTATAAAATCTAGTTCTTAATTCCCTTACAGCATATATTTTGTGAAGAGTGCATTACTTTATGGTTTAACAGAGAGAAAACATGTCCGCTGTGCAGAACTGTGATTTCAGACCATATAAACAAATGGAAAGATGGAGCTACTTCATCACACCTTCAAATATATTAAGCTGTATAAACTATTAAGACCACAAAACACTAATTTCTTTTGGTTATAGTGATTATTGATAAAGATATTAGAATGGATTTTCAGTGCTAGAAGTTAAAGAAAATGTTTCCAAATGGTTTTAGAATATATAATAAGACTTAAGAGTGTAGTCCAATTTATCAAAAGATTAAATGAAAGAATCCTGTGTTTAAAAAAATATATAAGTAATGTTCAACCTAATGCATATGCAACATTTATTCTATCCTATTTGACAGGTCATTGCAGTGTTAAATTGTAAATGTGTTTCTGGTTAATGTTACCAAAATAGCAATTGGATAACTAGAACTAGTGGTTTCAGAGGAACTCAGGTATTCTTTCCTGACATTGTTTTTAGAATAAAGAATATTTTTCATAGTATTTTAAGATACACAAAATCTGAAAGTAGAATTTTCTTTAGCATTGACTTTTATAATTCCCATTCTTAAAATTTGTATTTTTAAATGAAAGTTCTAAATGCTATATTTTACCTGTAACAATCAGATTTTCTAAGTGAAGATTAATTTACTGAGGATGATATATTTTAGTATTCTATTATTCTCTGTACTACGATTAGGAATCAATGAAAATAGATGATTTAAATTCATTGTGTTTGTGGACCTCATAGTACAATTCTGCTGTCAGCTTTAACGTTTATGATCTTGCTTTTTGTATAGTGCCATGGACTATCTTGAAGTAACTATTAAAATAATTCACATGGATTACAAACAGCTGGCTTCACTGATGATTTGAATAGTATGACAAGACCAACTCAAACTCTTAGAAAAGAATTCCCCTTATAACTAGTCTTCTCCAGAAGTTTTGGAATCTTATGCTTGAATCACCATTACTTGGGAAATTAAAGCTTGCACTCAGAGGCAACCAAAAGCTTTGGATAGTGTGGTTTGTTTGCCTCTAGGTATTTGTGCAGGGTGGTGGAAAAAGGAGTGAGGCACTTCCTCTCTCCCCTTGAAAACTCGAAGGGGAAGTATATAACAAAAGTCTGAAGGACTGGTTCTAAGTTTAGAGTACAAAGCCTCGGCCCATTTTCTCTATTACCATCTATCAGTTTGCACACAAGGAAAAGATAGGGGGAAGGAGAAGTTAGGAGGTAGAGGTAGAAAACAAATTTGCAGTGTTGATAAGAAAAGGCTAAGCCAGCATATGGATTAACAAGGATATGGCCAATCAGCTACAGGTTAAGTCATTTATTGACAAAAGAACATTAGAAAGCCTGTAACTTTTTTCCCAGCTAACTATTGCCAGGTTATAAGTACAACTGTTTCTATTCATTCAGCAATGATATAGTCTTTAACTCTATTATCTACCTTGAGAACCAGTGCAGATGTTGAAACAAGCTTACTTGGCCTTAAATCACCTTCCTGGCTGTGGTGAAGCTAATACTTACGTATACAGCAGGGGATGGGTGAGAAAGGCAATTTGGGATTAGAATTGGGGTGTAAAAGATAGATGTGCTGACTTCTTATTAAAAACACAAGAATGGCATCTTACGATGTGAGTTACTTCAGCCCTATTACAATACCGGCCTACCCTATGGCTATATGGATAGCTTTGTTTCTTAATATGGTTTAATAACAAAGGAGGTCCATGGACAGTGGGGTTGTTTTTTTTTTAATGAACAAGAAACAGTTCGCATATGAATTTAAAAGGGGGAAAATGTAATAGGAGACCTATGCCATCCACTAACAATGCTGATGAACTGGAAGCATTTCTCTACTTCTATTCCTTCACCTCAAAAACAGGGGAATAGGGATTCAAAAACCCATTTATTCTGTGAATTCAGATCACACCCTCAAAGACTGTTTTATCAGCATTAAGGATTGCTACTAGGTTTTATAAAAAAGTTAAATCAGTTTGAGAACTTCTATAGGGAAATCTTGGCAAGTGTGATAGAATTACCTCATAAATAAAAAGTGGCTTATACAAAACAACCAACCTACACTAGATATATTGAGACATTAGTTAAAAAACAGATTTGTGCACTACATTATTTTGTGCATACACATCAAATAATCAAATGTAGTTGACAAGTGTGGCTGAACTGTTGATTGTTAGCACAAGAAAGTCTTCTTCATGTTTTTATGTGAAGCTAGCTTTCACATAACTTTTCACATGAACTTTTTTTTAAGCAACCAATTCAATTCTATTTGACAGAACTTGGAAATCACAGATGGGTAAAATCTAATATATAAAATCAGTACTAAAACTGTTATATATTTAAGTAGCTTCAATTTCTCAGCAAAAACAGTTTTACAGTTGTCATTCCTCATATATGTATGTAGTTTATTAAATATGAGAACCTGAACACATCTGACACATTGAAAAAAATTATTGAAACCATTTGTGCACCTGATGCTTATTTCTTCCTATCTTAGGATAATAAAAAAAATCACTTCTGTTTTATGTTCATTCAAATTTGTATTTAATTTCTATTTACATTCATCAATCCGAAATCAAATACTTAATACAGTAAACTAAATACAAGATGAAAAGCAGAAAAGGTGTTACCCTCATAGCACTCCTAATAAGGCAGCTGAAGAAATTATTTACTCTGATAGATGCAAAGCCAACTTGGGATAGAAAAAAAATAATAGTTTAAAGAGCAAACACAGATGAACCCATCTTTCAGATGTTACTTCAGATAATCCACTGAGGTAATACTTGTGCTGTAGTGGTAAACTAAGAATCACGCAAGAAAAGTTTTGTATCAATCAGCAACAGACCACAGGTCATGGTGTGACAAATACTTTTGATTGTTTTGTCCAACTTGCTAGTGTCTACTCCTATGAAAAAAGGTAGATGTTTGGACACTGATGTTTTTGAGAAATTAACCATTTTTCAAAGCCTCAAAATCCAGTCTTCATAAATTCAACATTTCTCATGGGAGTAATCTTAGATCTAGCCCTTAGAAGCTAGGAACCATATGACTTAACTGAGTAACCAAAATTTTTAGGTCCTATATTAAATAAAAAATCCAAGGCTCAGTATATTAATATGGAAGACATTTTATTTATAATCATTTATTACTTAAAGAATGTTGAATTTATGGAGTATCATACATGCATTCTTCTCCCCGCAATTATCTTCTATCTCAAAAAATAGTATGGAAAAATCCTTGAAGGATTCAAACTAGTTAAGACCATAAAGGGGAAAAAGACATAACATAATTTTCCTAAAAATCTGGTTCAGGTTCAATCATTAATACTTTACATTGTTAATCACAGCTGGTTTATAAATCCCAGTTTATTCTGTAATGCTATAAACCTTATAAAATCAAAATTAGTAAACTTCAGTTCTCAGTGATTATATTTCAATTAAAAAACAACATGTATAAAATAAAAAAATATCTTGTAATAGCTGATTTTAAAGAAAATAATCAAGTGATGAAAGAAAAGCACTTAATCTCTTTATTATACACTTACCTGGAATAATCATAAAGAACCCTCTTAAAAACTCAAGACTAGTAATATTGACATCATATATTTTAAACTATACTTGGATTCTTACAAATAAATATAGGGTAAGCCATATTGCATAGGTGTGTGCTTTCTGTCTGTGACACTAAAGTGACACTTGACATGTTTTCACAGTCATAGTAGGGATATCATCATTTATGAAATACAATTTCTCAGTAACTTGCCACAGCATAGCAAATTATTTCACTTCATGTTAAGTTTGAAAAACTGTATTTGTGTGGATGGTAGGTGTGCAATTAATGCTTTTTATGCAGAAAAGTTGCAGTGTTTGCCACTATTGCTGGCAGTACTAATTATGAAAACGGTTTAACTATGGGGTGGTTAATAGCCAGCCAATCACAGTGCAAATGTTACTAGCCAATAGGACTGAGGAACAATATTTTGGTGTAAAATTTCACTGGAATTTGGTCAGGCAGTCAACACTACAGTTAGTAAACACATTTGAAAACAAGTATCAGAGTAGCACAAGCCATTGACAGTCTGACATAGAGCCTGTACATATCACCATAGCTTTTTGGGTTCTGTTTTTTCAGACATCATAAACTGTCAGAGAACAAAGATCTGCACTTTAAGTACAATTTCTGCCCTTATTATTGTAGCTTCTAATTTACTAGCTATAAAGTTCTCAGTAGGCTGCTGCAATAAGGGAGAAGCGGGTCTAGAGGGAGTGATTTAAAAAAAAAAAGAAGGCTTTCTGTCCAAAGAAGAACTGTTATTAAATCTTTCATTTATTGCCACAATTGAAAAGGTATATTTCCAATCATTTTTCATGGTTCTATTTTTGCTTAATGTCAGGATTCCATCTCATCTCACTTGACTTGCCATTTAAGCAAAGCTTTGCTCTTTTCTGACTAAAATCAACATGCATAAAGAATTTTATGGCTTGGATCCTATGGCTCAAAAAGGTTTGGAGAACATAGCAAGCAGCATCTGTTTAAAAAAATCATAGGGTTGCAAAATATTACAAACTGCCTTTGCACACTCAGACTGAAGACATTATAAAAAACAAACAAAAAGAAGTGATAAGACTCAACTGCATCTGCATGATCATCTATTATACCAGTATGCACTGAAATATATTTTTATAAAGCTCTGCAGATATTAAACCCTTTCACCAGCTAAAGTCATGGCAATGCTCTCTTTAAGGCAGGAAGTATTTAAGAAAGGTAAAGTTACCTTTATTTTTATTCTTTGTACCTGTAAATTACTTATGTAGATTTTGTTACAATTTCAAAAACACAGTGTCTTGTTAACATGTTTCCTAAATTAAGCCACTAAGTTTTCATATTCACTGTGGAAGACATTCATCAAAAGGCCATCAAATATTTTTACAATCAAGAAATGTAGCCCCAGTATAGGAGGAAAAAAATACCTTTTTTCCTTTTGAAACTGTTAAGGAAAAAATGTAAGGAAGGTAGACAGCAAAAGCAGTAAAAAGAAGTAAAACTTAAAACCTTACCAATTTGCTGTAGAGATTAGACAGAGAGAGTGAATCATGGGAACACCCTCTTCCCCTGGATCTCCCTATCTCCCTCACTTTGCCGCCCTCAGTGTGCATTTTATCCTGACTCTCTTCCGTCCTTCTTCAGCCATGGGCTGAACACATTTGGCGTCTTGAACCAAATACTGGTATAAAAACAGATGGTGATATTTCTCCAGTGCAATGCAGGCCCAGGACAAGGATGAAATGTAGGACATACAACTTATGCCCATTCCAAGGCTTCCAGTTAAGCTTAGCACATAGCAGTACTGCAAGTAGAAATGATTAAATAGATTCTTTTTTTTTTTTTCTAGTATTACAGACAGGTATTGCAGCTGGGTTACTGAAAATAAACCCCAGGTCCACCCCAATCCCTCCAACGAGCCACAGCTGTGGTTAACAATGATTCATTTGCATTTTTATTATTTCACCAAGAGAAGAAACAGAAGTTGTCTGGCTTTCTTCACACCAACCAATAATTTCGCATTTTAAAGTTTGGGATGTTTCCATAATGGGCTGAATCAAAAATCTATTTGAAAAATATATATTTATATAAAAAAAAGATTCAGGTTGTTTGCACGTAAAACATCAATTGATAAGTTTCTTTTGTCTTTGATTCCATGTTGCTGG